CCCTTTAATTTTTTGGCAAAATCTCTGTTAACTTGTGTTATCTGGAATCTAGGATATCTAGAGTCAAGATAACTAAAGTTCTAATCGAATTTTTTATCTGCTTAATTTTCCTGTATTAAAAATTTAAGACCTCGTATAAAGAAAAACATGTTTATTAAACAAATAAAAAAGATCAAATACGTTGATTTTAGGAGAAGAAAGAACCTAAAGGAATGTCTAAAAATAACTCAGATCTGCTTCGCAATTTGATTCTAAAAGTGCTCCCATAGTAAAGAACGCAAAAACATGAAGTCTGCCTCTTTGATAATCAGTGTAGAGTTCCCATTCAGACCTGCTCGTTCCAAAAGAATTTTTTTGTAATTTGTTAACAAATAATAACGATTTAAGGAATCCCTTTGTTTTTGAAACGTATTTAAACGTGATTAAAGAAACATATTCCTAATAATTTAATGAAATAATCACAGTATTTGAAAATTCGGTAGCTCTTCAGTTCAGTTTTTGGTTAAAACATTCATTTTCGTAAAAACTATATAAAAAATATAAACTTCCATATCTCAAGTTTTGTTTTGTTTTGTTTTGTTTATAGTGTTTGGATAAAGAATTAAAAGGATAGAATATGAGATTACAATAAACTTAAATTTTATGCTTAATAGCTTCTTTCGTATTTTAAATTCGCTAAAGGTAAATATTACTTCACATATTCTTCCTGTTGCTGAAGGTAGAAATTTCTAAAAGCCTTAAAAAAATGCGCGAGATTTCACTAATTTTTTTTTCATTTAAAATTAATGCATTCCTCTTCCTGATAATAAAATTCTTCCACAAGAATACAAATTTTACCACATAAAGTTTATGCCCTTTTCATCAAAGCCGATAATATGCTTGAATAAAATATTTTTTATATATCACAAAAGCTGAACAGTGTATAAAATTAGAGTGTGTGAGAGAATGTGAGATTATCCAAGAGAAGTAACCGAATAATAGTGATTATCTCCGTGAGTTCTTGTGAAAATAAGTAATCCAGATATAAAATTCATGTTTTTCCTGCTTTGACTCTACTGGAAATTCCACCGTGGCTTAATCTCAGACGAACGGTTGGCTATATGGCTGGTTTTCCCATACTTAACGTGAATACGAGCCAGTTTTTCTGAGAATGTCTTCCACGAAGACATCTAACCCTTTAGGCAGATATTCTTTAGATATATTCTTTAGGCAGATATATATGTTCTGCAGAATTTAAGCAACATAACTTAAAGTTGAAAAGTTCTTTGATTAAACTTTTCAGCTTTTTTTAATATAAGTTAAGTATGTTCTCATATAAAGTCAGATTTTCTGACAAAAATTTATTACAGACGTAGGCCAGTGCTTCTTAATTATTTAAATTCTGGGTAATCTATATTCATTGCATTTTCTATTTTAGAACATTACATTCTGAAATCTTTCTCTTATTGGCATACTGTGTTAAATTTCCTCTAATTTTCTAACCATATTAAAAATATTATTACTCTTCATTCAGTAAAGATACACAATTTCATGATGCACATCATTTAGTTCTTTGGCATGTTCTTCTATGAACCAATTTTAATTCCTTTAGAATTTTAATTCCTTCTTTGTGTCACTGGTAGCAAATTCTGTACGCGAAAGCTCAAGCTAACATTGACTATGCCGTTTTGAGTACTTTTTGCAATAAAAACGTACTTTCTTGAAATACGGGTTCATTCAAAATTCCATGACACTTTTTAAAACGTTATAACAAATAACTACGCATGTGAAATCAAATTTTATTGCTGTGGAATATAGGCAAACTTACTACGTATTTTCCTACATATATCACAAATGTTTACTCTCTTAGATTTTGCTAATGCGATGCGCATCTAGGCCGTAGTAGTAAACTCGACCACAGCCATATCATAGCTGATACGGCTGCAAAGCTCTTAGGGAAAGCGGGGAATAGAGGATAAAAGAGAGTATCTATGGCAAACCTCCCCAAGAAAACGTTACGCGGGATTAAACTTTAAAACCTGTATGGTTTTTATTGCTGAATCACATCCTTATCCTTGCCTCCTGATCACTAAAAGGGTAAATTTTGATTGAGATACTCTTCCAAATCATCTAGAGAATGGTTGTTTTGGCAGTAAACCAACAACTGCTGGGTTGAAAGAAGTATATATCACTGTTTTCATTCAATTGTGGCGAAAGCAAGCTTTTGAATACGGTAAGGTAAGATCTATCAATGTATATATTGTCTGCCCACTATTCTGTTGTTGTGACACACCAGAATGGTGGGCACACTGAACATTTATAAAATGTATAGGAAAAACTTAATGAGTTTACCTCATTAAGTTGTTTCATTGCAATCAAATTTGATATTGTTATAAATGTTTAAAATATTTCACTGATTTTTGAGTAATCCTGTATCTTATTTGAATAATCCTGTATAATCCCACCAGATGAAAACTATCATCTATTTATGCAAAATAGCAAGTTTGCCAAAGTCAGTTTTCAACAGTATGCGAACAGAAATCTGTAAATGTACCTTTGTATGGTACATTTACAGATTGTACCTTTGTATGATGTAATATATCAGAAAAATGCATGAAAATATACACGCATTAGGAAGTTCATATTCAATAATAATAATAATTAGTTAACCGTACCGTTGGCTCACAAAAAGTGTTCTCTCAAAAGAAGTTCTCTCTTGGTATGTTGTATTCTGGCATTCAACTGTTCCCCACTGTTCTATATTATGAAGTTAGATAAATTTACTATTCTGCTGACTCGTCTAACAGAGCTAAAGTCTGATTTAACTGTAAAATTCGATCAGTGTTTTCGATCCATGGTTTTTTTCGCGGATACTACAACTACTTGCTTACATAAAATTTTAAGTATTGACGAATTCAGTTCTAGTACATTTTCCGTCTGAAAACTTCTTTTATTAGTACAACGCCTGAGTATTTAATCTTTCGAAAACCGAAGCCTTCACTAACCTATATGCTTAAAATCCCGAAATCATGAAGATTTCAAATGACATTCTTTCTACTGACTAACAAAGAAGTCTCCATTAGCCTTTCAGGACAAGCTGTCTGCAATAAACTGATACGAAGCATTTGGGGAAACTACATCTGCTACTGCATAACTTAGCGGGAGGGAAGAAAACTACATCGCAGTCTGGGCCGTTACGAGAGGTTGAGGTGGTTTGAATGAAAGGCCGCATCGGACGTTTTGGCCTTCAAAGGGTTAAATTATTAAAGAAAAAAAGTTCCGCATGTAAATTCGTGTGTGAAATTATCACTTTTATTCAAATTTAAATTTATGAATTTTTCATCCCAAATTTAAACTGAAAGTAATGTGAATGACCCCATCAGATTCTAGTGTTGTTAAAATCGAAATTGCGCTATCGTTAACTATTACGTTATCGTTATATTTTAATTTAATGTAACTCTTGCTTTTTACCTGCGCCTCATTCTTTGCTTCATCAATATCTAGCACGGTCAGACCAGATTCGGTAAGATTTAAAATTATTTTCTCCCAAAACTAAAGTTCTGTGCTTCCCTGAATCAATTATTTTATACTTGACAAATAAATCTAATCGGAGTTTACTAGTCAGATTTATTAAAAAGTTTATTATTAGTTAGATTTCATAAGCTTATTTAAATTTGAAAATTTATTAAAAATTATCAAATTTAATTTTAAGAATATGTAAATGAATAATTAAATATTCTCTTGATCATTCACATTAGAATTTAAAAATTTAAGGCCTTTCCAAATACAGTCAAACCTCTTTAAGACGTCCTCGCCACTCCCTTATTAATATATGCTTTCTCAAAGTCCCAAATTATCTCAATGATTTATTAATATAATTTGCTGCTTTCCTTTTTCGAAAACTATTTAATTTTCAAAACCAGTCCTTGCGTATATCGAAATAAAAAGACTTGAACACAGTTAAATGTCTTCCCCCCCCCTCCTTCAGCCACCATAATTATCCCGTAGCAATCACTTGATAAAGGAATAATAATGAGTTTTAAGAAAGTACTAGAAATTTTTGTCTAAAAATTTGTTAAAATCATTTCATGAATATTTATTAGCACAAAAAGGCTATTCTTTTCGCGACACGGTTTTGCGTTGTTTCACTTATCATTTGAGTCTATTGCCATTCGTAAAAACGCAAGATATTATTCTTTCATACTTAATCTGTTTATTATTAATTAGCAAACTGAACTATTTCAAAACATTAGATGTATATCTTAAAAATATTAGTATTTTTTTTAATCTAATGGACTTAAATAAAAATGCGTTTAAATCATGATCTGTCTAATTAAAAACATATTTTTGAAGATCAACATTTCCTATTTTTTAACCTTTTTAAAATATACAGAAAGTATAAAATGTCCTCGTGTTTGTCTAAATGTACATTCATCTAAACATCGTATAAAATGTTTCGCTATTCCACCTGGGCCATCTCTAGGATAATCCCCACTGATAACGTAACTGGCCATTCACAGACTGTCTGTATGCCGTATCACTGGCAATTCAGGCATCATAATTGAGAAGGTATGTTTACTCGTTATTGAATCCAGTGTGGAGAACTCAAGTTAAAACGCTGAGTTACTCAGTCCGTGAAATTTAAAATGAGCTCAGCTCTCAGAAGAAAGCGTTTAAAGCCAGCACCTGACACGAATTGAGTGCCGTGATCCGCACGGTGGCATGCCGCCTTACATCCTCTCATCTGCCGTCAAAATCCATCAGTGTGACGATGCTGCTCTTTCCTTAACCGCGGCAAGTCGAAGACTGCGTAGCCGGCAGCGGCGCATAGAGGGGCGGGTTCACAAAACCGCGCGCCGCCGTAAAGGTACTGCCCCCTTTTTGTTTATTTTTTCCATCTCGTTTTCGTCCGCAGTTCTTCGCTTTTTATTTTTTAACTTGTTTTTTATTCTTGTATTATTTTTCCTCCGCCGGCAGTTGCGTCTTCTACTACGTCACAAACTGGACTGCCTAGGCCTAACGGAGGCCGAGGCGTAGAGCTGGATCACCAGTCACACACTTCAAACGGGGTTGGCGAGGAGGTGGTCACCTGTGTTTGTCCGTCTACTGCCGCTTGTTGTTTACTTGTTAGGTGCACAGCGCTGCAGCGCTGTTTGGAACTCTGCAAACGGATGACGCATGTGAACCAAATTCCCTCTCACTGTCTGGATATAAGTAAATAAACAGAAGGCATATCGTCAGCTATGGTCACCGTGAATAATACATGCAGTGAATTTAATAACTGCTTCTGAATATCAAGAGCATGAAATTACATTCTTAGTGAAAGGATTTTCATGATCAGCTAATATTAGTTTTTCTATTGCCGTCGTATTCTTTAATAGATTCAACAAATGTGTTCACTTGGTGGTTAGCATGCCAATGCTTGTTTATAAAATACTGTTTTTTTTTTTTTATCAAAGTTAGTCATGCTGTCAATTATTAAAATATCAATAGGTAAATGATGTTCTTCTTTTCATTCGGTGATTAAAAATTGGAATATAGGAAGTGCCAACCTGTTGTGCAATTCGAGAAGTCCATTCTTTTAAAAGTGTAAAAGCAAATTTAAAGGTGTAAAAGCATTATACTCAACAAAATTTTTTGAAGTGAAGTTAGATTTTTGAAAAAAAAAAGATATTTTTTCTCCTTTCATATATTTTTTCGAGTTAATTTTGAAAAATATCAGACTCGAATCTTAATTTAAACTAGTTCCACAATTTCTTCAAGGAATTTTAACGCAGAAAAATTTATTTGAGAACATGAAGAAAATTATTTGATTAGAACTAGTTAAAGAACTAGTTGGTTAACTCTTTACGAAGCCTTAATTATTTTGCATCCATATTCAAATTGGGATCGCTAAGTTATTTCAAGCAGAAACTGTGTGATAAGCTCTTAGTAGCAAAGATTTGCTTTGATTTCTTTCATATACATCCCCTCTTTCAAGTTCTATCGGATCCCTATGTCTTAAAATTCGGATTTCGTTTGCCATGATGCAACCGGAGGGCTATGGGTCCATACCCATGGATCTACATATATCTCAGCAGGGCTACCATCCGTATTACAGGTGAGTGAATACTTTTATCTTCGTTCCTTATGGTTCTCCTGTTAAGGATGATCCAAAAGATCGTTGATGCATTTGATTTATTTTGCCTTTTGATAAAATTACAATGTGTTTTACAGGTGCAAAATGTTCTAATTTTATCTTCCTTAATTTTGGCAAAAAATGCTGCTTAGAATATTTGTTTATAAATAAAGTCCCATGTCAGGAACTGTTCGTTTCAATATCAGTTTTTCTTATGATGCCTGTCTTAGAACTACAGCATTACATGGCAGTATAATCATGCAATCCAGCTGTTTTTTATTTTATTTTATTTTATTTTATTATTATTTAACTGTGGCCTCAGCAATAGTGTTATAAGTGGTATGTGCTTTAGAAATGCTGATTTGAATAACGATATCACCAATATTGTCGGAAATATTAATGGTCTTCTAATTAAATCTTAAGTAACTGTTTGAACTTAAGCTAGAGTTTCTCATTTGGAGTTTCATGGAATTCCCTTGTTTCAAGGGTCACTAAGAGTTCAGCGAGGAAATGATATAGAAATTATTAATTGAGCTATCGATAAAAGTTACATATCGTTTGCAATTATTTCGCAGGACTTAACTGAGCTTACGGTATGAGTTTTAAATTTATAAAAATTAAAGTGATGAATTGATAGCTTACACTTATATGTTGCACATTCCAGTAAATTATATAGGTAGAAATCTGGGATAAACATTTGGGTCTAATAGGGGGGAAAGACCGAGAAATTGAAAAGGAAAATTAAAACATAACACCACTGGTTATTCAAATTAAAGCATTATCGCATTACTAGCTTGATATTCTCTGGGAAAAAGAACTACCCGGAAATTTGATTTAATAAATTTTATGAATACAGAAACAGGACATGTCCATTTCTTAAATCATTAACAAGTTAGATTATTTATTCGAAAATTTTCGACTACAAGGGTTCCTGTTAGACAAAAAATAGGGCAAAAATTGGGAAAAGTTCATATAAACAGTAAACTAGGTGGAAGCCACAGTTTGGTTTAAGGAGTAATAGAGCCGATAAGATAGACAGATAATGTCGGTGATTTCATGTGTAGAAGTCAAGCAAAACGAACGCGAAATCTATGTAAGGCAACTTCGATTCAATCTAATAAACAACTTCGATTCAACCTTATAATTTTAGAAAGCTAGAACTGTAAGAAAAATTAGTTTTTTTAGTTTAAATATTATAAAGCAACTAATTTAAATTTAGTTTACCTGTGTAATTTTACAAAGAAACTGCGAATTTTTAAATTTGATTGAACCAGAATAAATCCCCATAGTAAACTAAGTATTAATAATAATAAATAAAAAAAAAATAGTGGGGCAATTTTCTTCTATAGCTGTAAAATATTATTGTATTTTCAGTTCAAACTTAGTTGTGAGTGGATTTAAATTTTTCATAGCAGCGGTAAACTAATTACATAACTACGTTTTACAAACCCCTTTCACTTTATTCCTGCAAAATGTGAAGTCAACAGTAACTGCTACTTTTACTTAAGTATGGCTATAGAATTCATCTATTTGAAAATAAAAATCTACTGTCAGTTTTACCAATATCCTTTTTGTTATTATGTTAAAAATCCGTATTCAATTTTATATCAAAATACGATAATTCAGCCTTTCTTAAAATATATTTCACTTGAAAACGTTGTCCGGTAGTAGATATATTAACTAAGTACGCATCGGAAAATTATTACTTAAAATATATATTGCATTCCAAACGCTTTTATTTTACTGCATTTTTGATTAAGTTTATGTATTTCCTGTTTAATTTGCAAATCTAGTACTTATATTTTTTTATTCAGATATTCTAAAATTTGTGTAGTAATTAAAAGTGATTAATTTATGCTTGCTTTTACATAGTTTATTTTAAATTCAAGCCTTCCTCATTGAAATTATTTATTAGTTCTAAATAGTACTTATCCGTTTGGATTATCTGTCAAAACTAATTCATTCAAAACCGGCCTTTTTTAACTCTTAAACCAACATCACTTTAATGTTTACCAAAACAATGAATTTTTTCCCTGATTTTTAAAATTCAAAAGTTTTTGTCTCTTTTGAAATTATTAATCACACTGATTGCGAGATGAAATCTCGCAATTATTAATTTTTCGTTTAAAAAAATCAGTGTGATTAATAATTTCAATTATTATTGAAATTATTAATCACATTGATTTTTTTTAAACGAAAAACAATGATTTGATAAAATTTCAAATTCTTGCGCTATGAATGCAGAACTAATTGAAAAAGCACCATCATAAAAAAAATTATACTGTTTTGATGAAGATTAATTTATACTTCTGAAATCCATTTTTCCTCAGATTTACTTTAAACAAAATGTATGATGGTTATATAATATTTAATACAAAATTAGGAAGTTTTAAAAAAACTCCCGAAATTTTATTTTCTCATTACACGAAAATTTCTGGATTTAAAAAAATAATAATAAGAGAAATGAACAAATGCGCGGAAAAAATCAGAATTTTTAAAATTAATATTCAGAATATTCACTCTAAAACGTACATGAAAATACTGCTATTTCAAAATTAAAAGTATTTTTTAATCTGAGAGTGAATTTTCGGCACTTGCTATGTAAATTGTATGAAATTTTCTTTTACATCCAAAGCATTTTCAGGTACAGAAAAATACTGTAGGTAACCGCTTTTATCGGCAAATGTTTCTATGATTCTTCTGATACACTTACAGCAACAACTTTGGTTATATAATATATTGAATAAAATTACTAGCTTATTTAATTTCCTTGGTTTCTTTCTTAAATAATTTGCCAGGCCGTTGTCTTACTTCAAAAAAAGTTTAAAAAAAAGTTCAAGTGCGATATTTATATCGCGGAATTACTTTCATCTGTTAACCAATGAGAAGCGTGGTATAGAGTTAAGGTATATAAAAGTTAATAATCACAACACAGCATCTTAAATCTTATTATTATAGCTATTTAAGATGAAAACTGAAATACGATACTAAATTTTCCACCTTTTTTTAGTTGCAACTTGTATTCAAGTTAATGCTTCAGGCTACTTCCCAAACCGCGTTGGCTAATATGGCATTTCCTTCAGGGAAAGTCATTATTTCGTTTCATTAGTTTTAGAAGAAATTTTACATTGGGCATCTCTAGAATTATAGAAATCTACCTGACTTAATAATTTTTTTATTTAACTGAAGTAAGATTTTTATCAATTTTGAACTTTGATCATTCACTAATTTGAAGCTGCGTTTATCTTGATTTTGTTAATGTTAAATTTGAATCAATTATTTTTAGAATTTTTATCAAATTTACAATTTTTTCAAAGCTTGATTTTCGTTTTTGTCTAAAGCTTCGTTGAATTCGACTTTTGTGCTATTATCTTTAGGAAGAAAAAATCTGACCCCTAAGTAAAAATAGAAAGTTGTACTACCGCTTATGTCGTAGGATTTATGAAAAAAATATGTGTGGTAATAATATCTTGTGTTACCGTTGCTGATATTTATTACAATAAAATTCCATACAGTACGCTCTCTTGGATAAAATTAATAAAATTTTTGCATGCGAACTAATATCAGTTAGATAACAAGTATTCTAAGTCCTACCACCTATAGTTTAAGTCGTATTATGTTTTAAATTATACAATTATAATAAAACTTTTTTTCTGTCAATTAATTTATTTATACAATCAATTACAACAATGATCACAAAGCTATTTTTTTTTTACTTTCTTCTCAACTCCAGCACGTGAGTCGTGTATCCATTCTTTGCATTTTAAGCTGTGAATCTATTCTATTCACGATCTTCTTCACAAATATTACAGGGAAACGAGTACGATGGGAAGCAATAGGGTTGACTAGGGGTAACTCATTTTTCCGGAAGAGGCGCAGTTGACGTGATATTAAGCCTAATATTTGAAAGGTTACCACTTGCGCAACCTTACTCTGTACGAAAAAGAATTACAAATATTACATTTCTTAGTAATTAACAGATAAAAATTTTAATTGCAAGCAATATCATTTTCGTAACATCGATTTGCTAAAGCAAGATTTGCATTTGCAATCTTCTTATGGCCTTACAAAAAATTAAAAGAATTATTTATTTAAAAGTATCTGTTCAATGTACATCTTAAGAACTTAGGTTTATTGACTATGTAATAACCACAGTAACTGAATTTTACACATCAAATCTTTGCATAAAGTAATTGGCATCGACCAGGAAAATATTTGAGGTTCGGTGCCTTACTTCTAAATGACTCAAAAATTACTTACATAGTTGCATGTGACCGAATAGCATAATTTTCACGTTATGAAAATAGCTTGATTTTCTCTCGCTTTAACACATTGGCCAATTCATCGTATACAGTAAAATCTCAATTTTATTTTAATTTTAATTTGTTAATGGCACTCAAATTTAAAAAAAATATTGTTTAATATCTATAGTTAAGAATGTTTACAGACATGAAGTTATACATTGTTAGTTTTTTTTTATTTACCTTTACATTTTCTCTGCGAAGAATCAGAGAACTGATGACTCAAAAATTATTCTTTTAATTACATTAAAAATAATTAATGCTTTAATTTCTTTTAAAATTAATACTTTAATTACGTTTCAGAATTAATACTGCAATTACTAATTTTTAATACTTTAATTTCTAAAACCTTTCATTAGGCTATCACATTACATTAAGTAACAAAATCTCTTTCACGTAAAATCTGTAAAATGTTTTGAAAGAAATGTCAATCATTGTCTTGCATCTTAACTGTTAAACAGACTTACTATAAAAAGTTTCGCATTTAATGTAGTTTCCTGATTCTCCCCTTTTGAATTACAACACGTAGTAATCGTAGAATTAACCTTACTCAAAGATATCATCGTTTAACAATCTTTCATTTGAGAGACTTATCGGTATATTATAAAGACGACCCGCCAAAGATGACTATAATGCCTATATCTCAAAACTATTATTTGAGAATATTTTTTTGCCATAATT